GGGCCTGAACCGTTTGTGCGGGCCAGGCCTAAGAAGGCCCCCAAGGACTTGGGCACAGACTAAGGCCACCACTGTGAACCCCAGGCACATGTGGGTATGAGCCGACTCTTTCTGTGGATAAAATAAATATTGACTTCCGGTAAAATGGACGTTAGGCACGGTCACTGTTTTTTAGTCGTACCAAGTTTTTTGCTTCTGTCAGACGGTGACGTTGCATTTGTGCTCCATTTGTAGACTGAAAGGATATAGTTTCGTAGCCCGCTACTGAGTTCAGTGCATGGCGCGACACTGTGAGCTGCGGATTTCATTTAGAATGTTTTTTCGACTGTGACCAAGGTGGTGGTGTGAATTGTAGATTCAGAAAATGCTGCGTGGCCTGTCGTCGCAATATTAGTGGTGCCCTTGTGTGATTAAAATTAATCGCTTGTGCAACTGTTGATCTGTTGGTAACTTCTGCTTCCGCCGTTGATGAACTGCATTTCTAATGTCGGACTGTTTGTGTTAGCACTTCTGATGGCTACGGTATGCTTTTAATGCGTGTGTATGCTAGTGCATATGCTGAGACAGCAGTCTGTCAATCTCTCCACAAGGAACTGTGACAAAAATTCTGTTTGTTTTTCGTTGGCACAGGAGCCGATCAACTATGGGGTGACCCGTTTGCTATAAAGCTGAAACTAAGATTACCAAGAAAATAAATATATTTCATACGTTTATTATGTAACATTCGAAATTTGAGGTGTGTGTTTTTCGGGGACACAAATAGAATTCCAACCTGCACAGTCCGCTGTAAATGAACGAGTGGCGAGGCATGCAGATGACGTGCATTACTCTAATTTTTAGTATTATTGTTTACTATTTATTCGGCGTAATGTTGACTACATCACCCACTGAGTGCCGATGAGTCTATAAAATATAGGTCTAGCCCTATATGCCCAATACACCATAAGGAAAAGGTTTCTTTACTTTTACTTTTTTATTCTAAATATGCAAATCAGTTTAGGTTTCGAACATAGTGGGGGGAGAACGTTTGCTGTTATTCTTACGCCACTCATGCAGAAACTGTAACGAGAGAAAGCTACTAGTAACTAGTACTACGATGCTAGTGACACACGCATATTCTCAATAGCGAGTAACTATAAGGAAAATATCACGTGATACCCAGTCTAATGTACCTGTTACATGCTAACGTTTACACATGTTAATTCATCACACCTCGCCACTGGACTGCACTAGCCATGCGGTCCTATAACCTCAGGCTTCAGCATATTGAGCTTGCTGCAACAGTCAGCAGACCAAGGGTGTCTCGCATACACACCACTGGGGTGTCTCTGGTCCAACCCAGAATGACCCGCATAGCTGCCTTCTCTATATACTCTAGTGTATCCATCTGACTCTTTGAGACAGTCCTAGTTCATAATCATTCACTGAGAGGATAAAGCGCTAATATAGTATGTAAAGCATTCTCTGCTCCATGTCCACTTCAGCCAAAGTCTTAAGTGCATTGAGTCCTTTCTGGCATCTTGTCACAACCAGTTCCACATGGTCCTTAAAGGACAGGGCTCCTGCCAAATGTGATTCCCAAATACTTCAGTTTGTTCTCTCTCTGTTGACGTTTCAGCCATCTGTCGTGAAATCTGAAACCTCAGCTCTAACGATCGTGTTGTCCAGAGAACACCCAAAAAAAAAAAAAAAAACAGACGCCTTTTCTGGATGGACGACAGCCCTCATTTCTGTATATCAGTCAGTCACTTTGTCTACTGTCGCCTGTATCTCCTGGGCTGTTTGCTCCTTCCTTCTCGCCATTGCCTGTATGCGAGTATATCATCAGCAAATGTCAGTATCCTTCTAACTCCTGGTGCTAACCTTTACACCACCGACGCCATACCAAACAGTGGGTAAAGTGTTTCAAATACCGAATTACGGCTGATAATTAAATAATTTTGTATGGTGACACACGCCGGCTGTATGTATATAAATCTGGAGCTAGCCGTGGGTGACACTTAGCCGGGCGGTCAACCATGACGAGTCTTGATACGTGTTGAATCACGTGTGTGTCTCTCTCAGTGTATGTATGTGCGCACGCGCGTGTATGTGTCCGTTTATGTGTGCGTGCATGCGTGTGTGTGTGTCTGTTTATGTGCGCGGGCGTGTGTCTTTGTGCTTATGTTTGCGTGTGACAGTGTATGTGGGTGGACCAGTGTATGGGTGGACCGGTATGTGGGTGGACCGGTGTATGGGTGGACCGGTATGTGGGTGGACCGGTGTATGGGTGGACCGGTATGTGGGTGGACCGGTGCATGGGTGGACCGGTATGTGGGTGGACCGCTGTATGGGTGGACCGGTCGACATGTAGACAGAGAGAGAGAGAGAGAGAGAGAGAGAGAGAGAGAGAGATAGAGAGAGAGAGAGAGAGAGGGAGAGAAAGAGAGAGAGAGAGAGATATTTTTAAAACAATATCGGCAGTGGTCTAAAGATTTGATTTTTTGTTGCGGACGCGAGAGGCCCCTGGGGAGAGAGAAATGTGGGAGAGAGAGAAAGAAAGAAAGAGAGAGAGAGAGAGAGAGAGAGAGAGAGAGAGAGAGAGAGAGAGAGAGAGAAAGAGAGACAGGAGACGTAAAAATAGGTTCGATTCTCGTTGTTGCACCACATCAGAAAATGACAGCAGGTTCCATTACATAAACTTCCTCCAGTTTCCCCACAGTATAATTCTGTTATTTGAGTTCAGAGGCTCATGTTGTCAAATCAAGCGAACAAATAAACAAAAACAAGTAAAGAACTGTGTCAGCCGGGAATCGAACCCGTATCGACTGCTTGGAAAGCAACCGTGCTAACCTTTACACCACCGATGCTATGCCAGTTTATGGGGGGAAATTATTTTAAATGCCTAATAACAGTTGGTAATTAAATAAGCTGCATGGTGCCACTTGGCTGGGAGGTCTTGATCAGTGTTGGAACCCAGACGTTTGTGTCTCTTTCTCAGTGTGTGTGTGTGTGTGCCTGCGTGCGTACGTGCGTGTGTGTCGGGCGCAAAGGTATATACCTGATGGATATATGGATGGCTAGATAGGTAGACCGGTGGGTAGGTGGACAGAGAGGGATATTTAAACAAAATATCAGCACAGTAGTCAAGAGGTGTGATTTTTTGAGAGGTCCCTGGAGAAAGAAAGAGAGAGAGAGAGAGAGAGAGAGAGAGGTATATATTAAGAGAGAGAGAGAGAGAGCAACTGGGAAAGAGTGAGAGAGTGAGAGAGAGAGAGAGAGAGAGAGAGAGAGAGGTATATATTAAGAGAGAGAGAGAGAGCAACTGGGAAAGAGTGAGAGAGTGAGAGAGAGAGAGAGAGAGAGAGAGAGAGAGAGAGAGAGAAAGAGAGAGAGAGAGAGAGAGAGAGAGAGAGAGAGAGAGAAAGACGGCAAGGGATCATATTCATCGAAATGCTACAATATATACTAAGTTCTCTAAATACAATAAAGTTTAAACAGGTAATGAATCATTATCGTGTCCTATTCTCGTTTCCTGGCTCGTGTACACACTGGTTGACCTTTCAATAATGCTTGCCCCGACTAGTCTACGTCGGAGGGGTGTCGTCACGTTTACTGTTTTCTTCGAAAGGACTCTCGTGGGACCTTGGCTAAGGCTGTGGGTAAGGGAGGGGGTTGAGTTAGGGCCATTTCTAGATGTTCTGGGGTCGTTAAAAGCTGTATCGTAGTGTGGTATAGAACACGCTACATCGCTGCTGAAGTAATCGGAGGCAAGACAACGTGACACCCCTCCGACGTAGACTCGTCGGGGTAATTATAAATGAAAGGTCAACCAATGTGTAGATGGGCGGGGAAAAGTGAATAGGACCCATTCAGTAAAACAAACGTTAATTCCCCATTTACACACTCGTACACTCGAGCTCACTTCTTATTGGTCGACCTTCAGCCTAGCTAACTTCTGATTGGTCTGTCGTGAGCCACGTGGCTTTGGTACAAGTTCACGGGGGGTGTTCCGCAATGCCGTTGACATGTATATTTCAGCACGGCAGCGCTTTTAACATTCCAAAAACATCGACATACTGGGTCAACACAAAACCCCTTTAGAGAGTGATGAAACCTATGTCGAAGGCATTCTCTTTCTCGGAATAGAAACGTAAATGCAAATCAACACAGATAGCAATAAACAGAGCAGCACACACGTAACCCCCAGCAGGTAAGACCAGTCCAAGAAAGCTATCACTAGAACGTGACCTACTTTCTGTGGAGAGACTAACGTTTATTTGACCACCCATTATTGATGTTGCACCATATCGATATGGTGCAATGTGCCATCTAACCCATCAGATCACACTATATAAGCTTCCTCTAGTTTCCGCACAGTTCGGTTATTTGTGTCACAGACCCATGATGTTAGAATAGGCAAACAATTTAAAAAATATAAATTAAAAAAATTGCGTCAGCCGGGAATCGAACCCAGATCGACTGCTTGGAAGGCAACCATGCTAACCTTTACACCACCGACGCTGCATCTTTTGGTGGCTAAAATAGTTTAAATACACAATTACAGCTGGTCTACATGGTTTTACCTGAGTAAGAAAGCGGGGGGAGGGGGGTTGGGGGGGGGGGAAGGGGGGGGGGGGGCACTGTTTTTTTAACTGGAGCTGAGTCGTGCACAGTTTCTCCGGCATGTGCATGCGTGGGTGTTTGTTCCGCACGCTTTGTCGCGTGTGCGCACACGCGTGTCTACGTGCATTTACAAAGGAAAGATATAAATATATCTTAGATTTTGATATATGTGTGTCTACGACGGCACGCAAATTCTTACTAATGTCTTAGATGGATGGATATAGATATCTTTAAATAAAAAGAGACAAGAGAAGAAGAGAAAGGAAAGACGCAGGATGGGAGGGATAGAGAGAGAGAGAGATAAAGAGAGAGAGAGAGAGAGAGAGAGAGAGAGAGAGAGAGAGAGAGAGAGAGAGAGAGAAAGAGAGAGATAATGTCATCAATCCTTCTTGCAGTCACATCAGATCTGTCCACGTGTAGCGAATACTTACAACCGTGACTTTGCCGTCTAGTTTCACAAGCACCACAACCACACCAGCAACAGTCAGTACAAACGTCATTATGGCCGAGATCCTGTGAATCTGCAATCAAAATGTTCATCGGTCAACAGTGAACAGTGTGGAAGCACAGATAAAGTAAAGTAAAGATCCCCTTTCATGCCTTAAGCGTATGGGGCATATGATAAGAACATCCCATATTTTTTTACAGACCAATCGGCACTACGTGGATAATGTGGTCAGCATTACGCCAGCCGTCTTTACTTCCACAGGACAGTCATCCTGGTACCCATTTTAGGTTGGGTCGGCCTGCGACGCTTCACACAACGATACAAATCCACGCAGCCAGCAGTGGGTTTCGATCGCGGTATGTTGGAATTACGAGTGGGACTCGCAACGCCTAAGCCACAGAGGAAGCACAGACGGATCATCATAATCTGAAGAGATTGACACTGCGAGGAGTGACCAGGGAATCTGGTCGACGATCAGCACTTGAGGTGAAGGTGAGATGGAATATGAACAGCTCCACAATGGGAGCCTGTACAACAGGAGTCTTAGGTGGGTCCTCCCTTTCCACAATTGTTTCGGTCCGTTATCCTTCTAGACAATCTCAAGGGTCAAGACGCCAGGCCTCTGAAGCTGCCAGCAAAATGCAGACAGCCTACAAGCGGTATCGATCAATCGATGGTTTTCTTCCCCCTCCACCTTTCCGGGTCTGCTCTCCCTAAAGGTTTAACAGTTCGTCCTGAGATTAAAAAGTTACATACGGGACGGGCAGACCAACATGGTAGATCTAGAAACCAGGTTCATATTCCAGAGATGATAGAATTAGGCACATTTTACGTTCAGTAGTTTGCCATTGCTTTCTGAACTATCAAAGCTAGTTCATGACTTCTGAGCCACAGACGCCGAAGAAGAAGAAGAAGAAGAAGAAGAAGAAGAAGAAGAAGAAGAAGAAGAAGAAGAAAGAAGAAGAAGAAGAAGATGAAGAAGCAGAATGGAAGAGACGAGAAGAAGAAGAAGAAGAAGAAGAAGAAGAAAGAAGAAGATAAGAAGAAGAAGAGACGAAGAAAAGAAGAAGAAAGAAGAAAAAGAGGAAGAAGAAGAAGGAGAAGATAGAAGAAAAGAAAGAAGGAAGAGAAGAAGAAGAAGAGAAGATAGAAAGAAGTAATGAGTAGAAAAAGAAGAAGTAGTATAGTAAGAAAAAAAGAAGAAGA